TTATAATATTCTTTCTAGCTTTTTACTCAGCAAAGAGTAATACCCTGAGACATAAACAGCTCCAAAACAATGTAGACCAAGTACCTTTTTCTTACAGATGTAGTAGCTGCAATGCCATGATGTCAGAGGACTGTTATGGTATATAAAATGTTAATTTTTTTTTTATTTCAGTCCCAATGCCATCATACTTTGCAGAGCGATGAAATTAACCGAGACCTTAATTTCCGAAGCTGGCAAAGATCCTATAGGTGGACAAACTGGAGCTCAGGAACAATGCAGGGAAAGTATTGATAAAAAAATAAATAAATAAAAAAACTAAAAAAAAAGTATGGGAACGGATTATCGGTTCATTAAAACTAATATCACAACAAAGCCAAATCCAACAAAAAGTTATATTAATTAAATAATAATAATAATAATAATAATAATAATAATAATAATAATAATAATAATAATAATAATAATAATAACTTGGAAAGAAATGTTTTCATAATTTTTTCTGCAAAATAAATTAAAAAATAGTGCATTTAACAGCTAACAAAAAACGGAATATGTGTGTTTGTGCCCTTTTGTAAGTTATTTTAAACAGAGTACAGCAATACTGGGGTCACTGCTGCTGATAATGTACCCTCTAGTATAGATTGAAAAGGGGATTCATTATGTTAAGAAACTAGACAGAAACTTGACTCATTGGGGGAGTGGGGGTTGTGTAACCCCACACTGCTCCGCTGGCACCGCACAGTGGCAGCCCACTGCTCCCCAAGGGGATGGGTTAAATGCAGAGGTAAATGTGTGTGAAATCAATAAAGTTAAATAATTATTTATTGCTGCTGTCTTGGAGTGTTTATTTAGATGCAAGGAAAAAATTACAAGGCCCGATGATTGAGGCACTGGAAAGTCCAATAAGTGTACAAAGAGCAATCTGAGATCCATCTAATTAGGCTTTTAGTGATTATGTAGGCATAAATAGGCTTTATTATAGTTTTGTATTTTAAATAATGTGACATGGAAATTTAATCCCACTGTCTGAATGACTGGTCGCAGGATTCCACAACTGTTTGTGAAAAAAAATCTATGATCAGCTTAAAGGACTATAAATGCTTTGCTTCTTTGGTAAAGCTGTTCTCAAAGTTTTTCTTTCAAGCAAGCTTTAGCAAACTTTGTTATCTGCTTAATTTGAAATTAAATTTGTGCTCTTCCTTGGTCTTATTTAATTTTCCTTTTTTTTTTTTTCCAATTACAGACAATCAAGCCATCAGACATCGCCACTGTGCGAACTCTAGCACGGCCTCCCCACCTCATCATGCGCATTATGGACTGTGTGCTGATACTCTTCCAGCAACGGGTTAATAGGGTGAAGATTGATCAGGAAAAAAAGTGCATTACTCCCTCCTGGCAGGAGTCCCTAAAACTCATGACATCCGGAAACTTCTTGAAAAGACTTCAGGTGCACTTTAATTATTCTATTTTAGTTATTCTATGAAATAGATGATGCATCAAATTTGATCATAGAAACTGTAAAACATGATCTTAGAGATGAAATTGTGGTTTTAATCAGCCTTTGTGTCTTACTTGACTTTGGAAAACTCATCTGCACATGCACTTAATGGAGGAATCGACCAAGCTTAAAAAAATACAATAAAATAACCTTTCTGTATTTTTGTTTTGTTTTACTCACTACATAAAAGTCCTTAATTCTTTTTATACTCAAGACAAACCTTCCCACATTCCATTCTCTCACCTGCTATTTGTATGCATCTTTTTTCCCCCAAAGCAATTCGATGTAAACACCATTGATGAGGAAATGGTGGAGCTTCTGATGCCCTATTTTGAGGCCCCAGACTACAATATTGATGCAGCCAAGAAGGTGTGTGGTAATGTCGCTGGTCTTCTCTCCTGGACCAGAGCTATGGTTGAATTCTTCTCTGTCAACAAGGAAGTTTTACCCTTAAAGGTAATCTGAGATTAAACACTTTTTTTTTCATGCTGTAGAAATTGAAAGCAAGTTTATTTTCAAATAAAATATAAATCAAAATCTATTTTAGATTTTGGCCTTTAGATGGATGACTGACAACTTGTGTACTGGATAAACTATTCCAATATATTGCAGTCGGGAACTATGGGAACTTGAAGTGTCTAATATTCTATGTGTATGTGGTTGGTTTTGAAAAATAACATGCTCCACTGATTCAGGCTTGCAAGATTGCCACATATAGAAATGGTTCTAGACTGTGAATTCCTTAATGACTTCTTTTATACTATAGAATAACAAACTGATACCTTCTAATTCTTGTCTTACTCTGAATTTAATTGTAAGACTTAGAAAAAGAGGTCTGAGATTACTTTGAATTAAGAGTGAATTGTCTGGTTTTCTGTTTAATGGTCTTCAAACAATAATAATAGGTTTGTTTGGTGTTAATGAAATCAGCTTGGTTCAAATCCCTCTGTGAAAAATTTTCATGGGCA